CCGAAGTCCATACGACGCCTCAGCTCTGCGGATGTCTCGGGGGTATGGCAAAGTGGAGTCGATTTTTTTTAGATTATATAAGTGAGTTCGAGCGCAATCGTTTCAAGATAAGACTTTTTATCTTTTTCARAAGCATATTATCATCAATTTGCCAATATCTTTTTAGGAAGAGAGATTATCAAGTATATTTTCCTGATTCAGTCGAAATGCTGCCTGTGAACTATGACAGTTTAGTGTTTACTCCACTTGATTTCACTCTCAGTATTTTCTCTCTAATGTTGCTATAATTTCTGCGTATATAGTACTGCGACTACCTTATGTCTACCAAAGGGGCCACTATTTCCCAGTCCCCGCGCACAAATAAGTACCCAACCCCCTCGTTTCTGTTCAAAGCCATCATGAATCAGATGCCTCTTAGGCTGCCTCTTAGAGAAAAAGAGTGCTAGCTGTAATAATTCTAAATAAAAAAATAAAAAGACTGCAGGGAATTTAACCCATGCCCAACAGTAAGAGAATATGAACTAAGAGAAGGAATCCTACCTAAATAGCCTTGTAACTATCATGTGCACAGTTTGGTGCTATTTTTAGCTTGGAGATATTTTGAGCGAAGAACCTGATTGGTTGATTTCTTGAGGGTAGACGGCTTCCAGTCTTGCAGTAAACAAAGCCTGTGTTTTTTGTCGTGGACGTAGCGAAATATGGCGCTTTTCGTGTCCTAAAACGAGGCATCTGAAGGGAAGCATGATTATCGCGTGGGCATGGTAACGAGTTAAAAATAGCATCAATGATTCTAAAAATAGCATCAAAGTGCGCACATGATGGGGCACGGGGATTTTTTCTCTTAGTTCATTTTCTCTTGCCAACAGTCTGTCATGACGAGAAAAAAATACTACGAAGAGAGTCGCCGAGGAAAGACAAACGCGTCCCCCGGAAGAAGCTAGTCTCCCCCACAGCCGCTTTCAGTGTCGTCACGCAACGCTTTCTCCCCTGAGTAGCTACTCAGGGGAGAAAGCGTTGCGTGACAACACTGAAAGCGGCTGTGTGGGAGACTAGGAAGAAGCCGAGCCGGGAGAATCGCTTATCTCTATTAAAGATAGAATACATTTTTGTTGAAAAATCAGAATTCAACGTTTCCGTTATTGGTTTGGTTTTCAAAGCCGACGCTTTTCGTTATACTTGTGTTCTGTATAAGTATCACCAAAAGAAATGCAACTCAGCCAATCAGATTGCAGGATTTGATAAACCATTTATCATTAGGTCTACACTAAAAGACTAAAGTTTAGAATAATAAATCCACTTTATCCATACAAAGGGCAATCGCTAGCGGCAATACAAAACGGCCAGTTATTTGCAAAAAGATACGTTTTATTGTGCTATTATATACTGATTACATACAAAGCCATTTGTCTCTGTTCCTTTCTTCAGTAAACAGGATGGCTTGCAAATTCTTGTGAATACAAGCTCTTACATAATTTAAAATAAAATTCGCCCTGCGATTATTTTATGAAAATTAAGATAAAACTTATGTATGGTAAAAAAGTTTGCATTATGCATTCTACGTTTTGGATGGCAAATTACCGAGGACATATGCTATATATAATAATAATTATTATTATTGGTATTTAATAATTCATATAATTCGTATTCGTATATAATTCATATAGGCTAGGAAGTACTTGGGAGGGGCCGCCTTACCCAAAGAAAGTTTTACCGACGTCACAGTCAAGCCACCCGCCCTTGCACACTGTGCGCGTGCATTCCCTGTATTTCCCTTGGTCAATGTTTGGTGTTTACTTTGGTATATTTGGCCAAGCAAGGATAAGCACCCTCTTTGGGGATACTCACGCTGGCTACTTATCCTCTCTCAAACAAATTAACCAAATGAAACAGTGACAAAGTGAGATAGAGGGAACACCACCTCAAACTCCCTAGCTTGGGTCTAATGAGAAATACCATTTTCCCTACCCAGACAGCACTACCCAGCAAGAAGTATTCTATGGTCAAATAATCAAAGATAGCCAATCCCCCCTCCCCACCTCCTTGCTTCAATTGTTTTACTTCAATACAAACTTCTCCAACTCCGTTAGTTAAAGATTGTCTTTTCATCTGAGTACGATGTATACAGAACCTTTATTAACCCGGTATGCCATTTGTGAATTGTCAAGTGGCCGATAAAAGTGGCCACTTAATAGATGAAAACCGACACATTCATTACAGGTCATTTTCTTCCTAGATATTCATTTTACTGAAGTAGTTGTTCTCGAAGAGTTTCAGCGCAAACGTTTAATAATTCCAACAAATTTTGCATGATTGCAGACACTTACGCGCTACAGACGTTTAGCCAAGAATTACAGTGACGCGACCAAGCACTCTCGTCACGTAAAGTTTCACTGTCAAGCGTCGCGTGACGGTTCTATAGAGCGTTTTCACATGACGTCACAGCCGCCATATTGTTGTACCTTCGACAACAACTTTTTCATTAGTTTCTTTTGTTATAACTAATAGGTACAACAATGTGGCTGCTATTTCTAGTGTCAGACATGACGTCATGGCCGCCATATTGGATTACCTTTGACAATAACTTTGTCATTAGTTTCTTTTGTTATAACTAATAGTTACACCAATAAGGCTGCCATCTCTATCGTCAGTTTAATTCTCTAGGGACTGAGGGAAAACGCTCTATAAGGACGTCTGCTTAGAAGGCTGCTTAGCAAAGTTGTCCTCTACGAGAACCTGAATACCACAGGAAACCCACCGGGTCATACAAGTGCATTTAGGCAACGTAGATCTTGACGCGTTGAACAACAGGACTGCGACATATTGGACAGGATTGTAGAGCGGAAGAACAGTTGAAGCAACAGCACACGTGACCGCAGTTCAGGAGAACAACGTCAGACTAAAAATAAACCAATAATCAATGTATTTAGAAATGGAAGACAGTCTTGTCTTCATATGAAGAACAAGTTGTTGATAAAATACTCTTTTTAGTGTTATTGACGGCTGATGAGACTTATTTATAATGATTGATACGAACGAACAAACAAACAAGCAAACAAACAGACAGACAGACAGACAGACAGACAGACAAACTCACCTTCTTATCCATACATATAACACAGTCAGGGTACATTGATGGCCCTGAAGGTTTGAGAACAGGAATCTCTGCTGGAGCAGAGGGCTGGGGATGACTAGGTTCAGGCTCCTATCGAGTAAATACAATGATTTCTTAATAGAAAATATTTATTATATAGTCCTCGCTAAACACGTAATTCTGATTGGTCTAGAATGTATGATGTATCAGTGAACAGGGCACGTTCTGATTGGTCTAGAACGTTCTGATATGACTAGAATAGGACGTTTGCATGATCGCGTCATTGACCTCTACTACCAGACTCCCTTGCACGCTTTCTTTTGTTTAGTTAATTAGCGCCAATAGCAATGATAGAGACATGTGAATAATTGTCCAAGGTGTTTAAAAAAGGTCTCTATCATTGCAAGCTCAMCGTTCGTCTCGCTTTGATGCAAAGGCCCGGCTACCTTTCAAGATAGCGCAGGGAACCGTGAAGGGGACTATTATCTAACTATTCTACAACAACAACAGTTTGAGTCTGATAATATCGCAGAAACATACTGTTGGCGTTTCCAGTTCTTTTTCTTTCTTCTGGGTTGTTTCTTGTACGCGTAAACGAGCCTCCACTGTATCTAGAATTGCTTTCCGAATTCCAAGTTCTCGAACCCCCATCTAGAGAAAATGAAAAAGAAAAAAACCAATGATACGAGATTATATAGAACAGATTAGAGTGGGATGCGATGGGGTGGGATGGGATGGTATGGGACGGGATGGGACGGGACGGGACGGGACGGGACGAGACGGGACGAGACGGCGCGGGACGGGATGCGATGGGATGGGATGGGATGGAATGGAATGGGATAGGATGAGAAAAGAGAGAGATGGAACATAATAGGGTACGATATGATAGGCTACAATAGGTTATTCCTGTTGGAGGCATAACATACTAATCACTTCTCATGATTGTAAGCTGCGTGGTTGCCCATAAAGTCCTCCACTGAAAATTAAAAGACTGCAAAGCGCATTGAGACTCACGTATAATTTATTCACTTATTTAGGATAGAAGTGGATTACAACGGATAGCATAGGATGATCGGGTTTAGAAAGGGTGGGATAGAATGGGATGGGATAGAATGGAATGGGATAGAATGGAATGGGATAAAAAGGGATGGGATGGGATGGGACAGGTTCACACACACATCTTGCCCTAACAAGAATATTGTCTGACCTCTTTCAGTTCTTCTGTTGTCATCGTCGTTAACATTTTCCACGTTATGTGATGGCGTGCAAAAAGTGCTATGAAATCTTCTGCATCTGCTTCTCTAAGAGTTTCTGCAACCTCGGGATCGCATTCCTGGAAACAGTGGTTGATCAAAACATTAAAACGACCAATAGACCTCTTTACCTTGGGCGTAATGTTTTCCTATTTCAAAGCACGTGTTAAGCCCTTGAACATAAAGATTCTTTTTGTGTTAATGAGTTGTGTCTATTATTCACGTGTTTTCTCGTCGTAAAGCAGTAAACAAATAAATGATATTCTAGGGAATGACTATTGGAATAGAAAATATTTTGCCCAAACTAGAGGTGTATATCTTCACATCATATAGACTACTTGAACTACTAAATGACAATAGAATGGACGTGTGGTCCAGTGTTATTTGTCCATGTTTCTTTCTTCTCATTGGGGGGTGGGGTGGGGCAGGACAGGGGAGAGGGGAAGGGAGGGGTCCAAAGGGCTTTTCATTTCAGTTTACCTTTTCAAGGAGAGTTGCTGGTTTGTTGTCCAGTAAGCGTTGGTATTGAATTAACCAATAATCTTGTACATCAGTCTCTCGTCTTCTTTCCATTTCATTCTAAGAAAACGTTAAAGAGAACATTTATATTTACTGTAGTAAACATAACAGATAAAAGATAGAAGTAGACAGACAGAGACAGAAAGACAGACAGACAGACAGACAGACAGGCAGGAAGGCTGGGCACCCTTCTCGGTGACAGTACAGGGGACATCATTCCCTTCTTTTTTTCAATCGTTTTTTACTTCTTTTTCTCTCAAAACTGAACCTAACAGTGCTTACCAGTCTCTCCATCAGTTCACTCTCTCTCTTCTCTTGTTCGATGATGAGCAGACCAAGAAGAGATGACAAGTCGCTTCGTCGTCTATTCAAAGCCAACTAATAATGATATAATAATAAATAACTTGAGTTAGTTTGATGCGTTGTTCTCTCATCATCCTCGGGAACCCAGAGGAAACATTCTGTCGCTGCTTTCTTGCTTTTTCTGCGAGCGAGAAACGATCGACAGAACTTTACCACAGGGTTCCCGAGGATGTGCCACGAGGGTTTTTCTTCGGGTTTTCCGGTTTTCCTCCCTCAATATAAATTAACGTCTTAGCTGAGTGTTGTCTACTGTTTGTCGCAAGTTTCCCACGCCCTTGTATCATTTGCATAAGATGATTTCAGGCGTACCATTTTTTTTTTTTTTTTATGTCGTTGCGCATATATCATTTATTTCTACGAGATCAACTTATGGCTCCAGATATCCCTGATCCTTGACAGGTACCTTAAGAGAAATAATAATTTACCTGCTCAGAATCTTGCCTTTCTTCCCTTTTATCAAATTCTAGCATCGTCAAATGAGCCAACTGATCCTCTAACAATTTAATCTATAAAAACAAAAATTATTGTAGTAAAAAAGGAGTTATGGAAGTGAAATAAAGCACTGTAAAACACTGGTACTTTTGACCATTTTTTGTAAATCACCATGCACTACAAAACCACAGAAATCTAAATACCTGGCCTGTTAGACGACAGTGTTTAGCATCTTTTTGTAACTGCAGAGCTTGAATAGCTTGCATCTGAGTGTGTTCCTGTCAAAGATAAGAGACAACCCATCAAGGGTGAGTTATTATAACTATATAATAATTAACTACGTCTTAGGTATAGGTAAAAATATATTCTTTATTTAGAATCATCAAGTTATTATACAGTGAATATTTATAACACATTAACATATTTACAGATGCATGCTATTTGACTCACCTGATTGGATATTTGTGTTTTTAAGGATTTGCGATCTTTGTCTTGCTCGTTGAGAGTGTCCCACACAAAATCATCTTCTGCAGCCTCTCTGAAGAAAGCAATGATGGTACTAATAAATTCCATGTTTTATATAAATTTTTTTCCCAGCGCCCGACAACATTATATTGGTATACTGTGGTTATGATGAATATTTTTGTTATTGTGTGTAACCTTTTTGGTGACCTCTGACCACATCGATTCGTCTGCTACTCAATTCCCCTTCATCTTTCCCAAAATAAGAAAACAGTCTCTTCAATGAAATGCTATGGTTAGGGACTGTTCATTATTTACTGGGGAGGGGTGAGGCATTGGGATTTGAGAACAGGCTCAAGAGGAAGGCCTACACAAAAAATTCCGAGTTGTACATTTACAATACAAAGAGTAGAAAACATGGGAGGGGAGAGAAAACATGGAGGGGGTCTGATTTTGTAGTAAGAGATTTAGCGAGTGAATTCCACCGCCCCCTCCCCTCCCCAATAAAAAAGACGCCCTTACCGTTTCATGGACATTTTGGCAATGTTATCACGGGACGACTGGTATTCATGGATAATTCGGTCTTGATTTTCTTGAAACGCCAGCATTCGTGCCATGGACGCTATTAATGAAAACAATACCATAACGGCAATTAGAAAATGTCATCATCATCCTTGTTTTCACCATGTCATCATTGACAGGGCAGAAAAAGGGTTTTTGGCCTTTCGCCATAAGAACAGCTTTGCGTATTTAAGCTCAATATTTTGTAAACACGTTCTTTTGGGACCAAATAGCAAAATATCAAATGCGATCAAAATTTATTGAATGCGTATTTGAGGTATAAAGCCGTGTACTTTGGGAGAGGTGATATTTTGATCAGCAGAAAAACTGACATTTTCGTGAATACTAATAAATAGATTTACTCTAATTCGACAAAATTTCATCACAAGTTTCGTGCAGCAGTGACACAAATAAAACGCTTAAAGATTTGGAGTATTAAACTCAGTTAAATAAAAAAATCGTGAAAGTAGCCGGCTTGTCGTTTTCCTGCCCTGTTGTCATCATTGCCATCATCATCATCGCAAAAGCTTTCAGCATCACCATCGTTTGCATCATGTCATATTCATCACCATCAYCATCATCATCACCATCATCATCGCCGCAATCTCTGACAAAGATAAGCTGATTAAAACAAATCAACCAGACAGACAGATAGCGACGGAAGAATGAATAATCTGAACAATTGGGAAAATCTCCTCTGTCATTCTTGATCAAATTCGGGTCCAGTTTTCCTTCTAACTAACGTTGCTAGAGGGTTGAGGGGGACTAGGACCAACACATATGACCAACGTCAGATCTATTTACCCAGTATTTCTTCCTTTCTCAGCTTTTCAGATTCTTCTTGAGTGATTTGCACCAAGTTATCCGTTCTTATTCTGATTCAATTGAAAACCACAGAAAAGGTTATTTAGAATATAGATCCAATTTAGCACAATTAAGAATTAGAATAGAATCAATCTCGTAACCAGAGTCCTCCCGCCCCTTTCTATCGTCAGCGTGGTCAGGCGCTGTCCCAGGCACTGACGACAGAAAGGCGCCGGAAGACTCTGGGTACGAGATTGGAATAGAATAGAATTAGATCTCGAAGATCCGGTTTTTCAACCCCTAATTTAAATTAACACGTGAGTTGAGTGTTCCTTCATTCATTCGTTATTGACTTAATATTTTATATATGATATGTAGTCTTAGTGAGTGTCAACCTTTCATTTTCCAGCTGGTCCAGAATAGCCTCTTTATCTCTAGCCCTAGTAAAATTACAAAGAATATTTTTAATAAGCAATACGCCAGACAAAATGACCTAGAGTAAAATTTGAAAAATCAAAATAAAATAGATTATTAAAGTAAGATTAAAACTGGCTAAAGCTGTGCTGCGGGGTCATACATGGACTGGATAGCAGCTACGAGTGGCGCCTTCACATTCTTTCAGTTCAACCCCGTTGAGCTGCGCCACTGCTGTACTTGCGGAGATGATTAGCGATGGCAATTTTATTTTTTCATTTTTTTATAGACTAATTCTTTAACAAGAAACGCAAAGCAACCCGAAAGTGTCTGTGTGTGCGTGTGTGTGTGTGTGTGTGTGTGTGTGTGTGTGTGTGTGTGTGTTGGGGAGGGGGCGGTCGTGGGGGCAGGTCGTGGTTGTTGACTATATACCCTTTCCTCCAGCCCCTCCGTGGTCCTTGCATAGTTTAAGCATAGTTTAGAATTTCTTTCATTGACTACCTTTCATTGATCTGAAGGATCATTGCAACTGTATCTTTGCTATTCTGTTCGTCTAATAAATCAAAACAAGTACATTAATATTTCAGCAGTCAACACGCAGACTAGAACACATGTAGCTTAGCTGGAGTAGCTCCAAGGCGGTAAAAGACGACAAAAGTGTGCGCACGAAGACGCTTGCTCTTTGCTAAAACTTTTTGAAGGCCTCGATCATCACAAAAAATTGGGCTCTGGAGAAAAGCTAGTGCTCGTGCGCAACCGTATCACGATGCAAAGCAATTGCGCGCTCTATTTCCTGGAAAATTCTGCTGGATAATTGATCAGTGAGGGCAGAATAAGAGCACTATCAATATGGACCCGCAAGGTTACGCCATCTTTAGTCTTTCTGTGTACTAAACGTTTAGCACGTGCGGTCTAATACCTGCAGCTAGCGCGGACGTCCAGTTTTGCCTTAAAAGGTCTTGTTTGTTTTGCAGCCACAGAATGTCATCATCCATGTCTGCTTCAGCCTGAAACACGAGACAAAAATACATGAAAAAAMAAACTTGATTTCTACCCTTATTTTCGAATATTCTTTTGTCTATATATTACTTGGAAGTTTTTTTTTCGTCTGAAGAATGTTTTTTGCTTGTCAACTGCAAGAGATGCTTCTAAAATCCAGGGGCGTAGCGAGTCTCGATTATAAGGGGGCAATGTACCATTTTCCCGCCAAATCCACAGGAATCCCGCACGAATCAATTAAATTTTGGTGCCGAGAGCAAACTTTGTCTTTTTTTTTTTTGTTTTTTTGTTTTGTTTTGTCGTTTTGGGGGGGGGGGGGGGACCTGCTAAAAACTCTCTATTTTTGAACATGACAATAACCATGGCTGACCTCTCTTATTCTGTTGACCAGATCACTGTGCGTCTTAAGCGCTCTGTTGGCTAACATCTTTTGTTCGTCATTCAAGTCCATCATAATTTTCTCCATTTGGTACATCTGGGACTGCTTGTGTTCCTTAAAGGGAAATAAATTCAGCTTCACAAACACATTGTTTCACAATCAACGCAAGCACAACCTCAAGCAAGAGTTCAGAGTTCTTATTTTATTGTGAGAATAATATCGACGCAAGCCCAAACGCAAGCGCACGCACAAAGACAAGAACCAATATTTTAACCCTTTTCCTTGTGCTTGTGTTGCTAGTACAAATAATGCCGAACAGAGGGTGGTGTAGGGATCTATAATCAGACCCTTGCACTCTGCGCGTAATTTCCCCCATTTCAACATCCCAAATTCTTGGGAATAAAGGTCTTCGTTTGAGTTCATCAGCTATGGTGTGTTCTCCTTACAAAAAGTTAAATTTCAAACTAAATTAAATTTTATTTTTAGTTACAGATATTTAACAATGAATGCCATTTCTCCTATATTCGACGTCCTCATTTCAAGGGTTCATTTGGATACTACTGCTCCCTCGTCTAAAGGGGGAAGGATCACGTGACCTGCTTATTCCTATGGCCGATCGTAAGTCTATTTCAAAATTATTTAGAGTCATTTTTATATTAAATATAGACAATTTTCTCTTGATATGTAATAAGCCTTTTTATAGTTTAAGAATCGATTCCACTGAGCATGCGATTTTATCCCGAATTTCTCACCTTCTTTTGTTTAATTAAGAACAAAAGGTTTAGACAAAAGAAGGTGAGAAATTCGGGATAAAATCGAATGCGCAGTGGAATCGATTCTTAAACTATGAAAAGGCTTATATATTAATATTAACTAGCTTTTTAGTGAAACGTGTTTTAATATCAAACACCTATAATTTCTTTAGCTTATACTATAGTATATTTTTTCGTCTTTTACTCCGACGAAGGACTACCGTCCGAAACGTCAGTACGTTTTTTCATCTTTTCACGGTGTACAGTTTACCCTTTTATCTTTATAGTTTCATTAGAAAAACCGATGTAGCTGAAACTAGTTTTTAGCTAGTTATCTCTTCTTATAGTTAGCTATGCTCATTGGCCTCTCCGAGGTTGCGCAAAAAACTGGTAACGATTAGAACGCGCGATGCATCATGGGGCTGTTCAAGGTTATCACATTTGTCTTTCTCGTAAACAACATGGGTAGTTTAACTTTTTTCCCCCAACTGTACTAATAGCTGGCGCAATTCACCAAATCTCACGCCTAAAGGTGAAAACGTCTTCTATAAAAAGCTCCATGATTCAGCGCGGGCCCTACTCGTTACCAGTTTTCCGCGCAACCTCGGAAAGGCCAATACTTTTTTTTAAATTAAATTCTTTATTTTTGTTTTTAAGTCACACATAAAGCATTTATTTAAAAAAACGTAAATTTCACACGTAGTTAAAACTGTAAACTAAGTTTGAAATGTTTTTACGTTCAAATGAGTTTCTATTTATGACCCTCACAGAATAGACAATAAAAGAATTTTGACTTATGCGTGATTAAAAACCTACAGTCATTTAACTTTACATTTAAAACAATCATGCTTTTAAATAGTGTATAACAGACTTAATAAAGTGTGACGTTTTAGCGAGATGATTTATCAAAAGTTCTTTTTTAGTGGAAAAGTAAGTAAGATTTTTTTACAAGCATATTACGACAGCATACCAACGAGCATTAAATGTGAAACACTCATTACAATAGACTACCTCGGGCGTAATGTTTTTCCATTCCAGATCACACGTCATTCTCTTGAGAAAAAGATCATCCTTTGAGCTGTATAGACCCCTTGTATGTGACGGCAAATCAGCTCGATATGAGGAACAAAACAAAACAATTCCAATCTCCAGAGAATCGGAACTTATTGTTTTGTCCCCCAGATTGAGCTGCATTCCAAAGTGCTGCAAGGGGTCTATCCATATTTATGTCTTCTCATGCACAACCGTTAAACGAAGAAACGATACTAGTGGTATGAAATGGGAAAACATTAAGCCCAAGGCAATGAGGTCTACTGTCTAACCTTGTCTGCATCATGTTGGCTTAATGTTTCCTAAGTGACAAAAAGAAATAAGACCAGCTAATGAGCCCAGCACCAGTGCATGATCATGCAACACAGATAAACATGTGAGACAAGAGCTAATGAACATACAGTGCGTCACAGTCATGCGCGGAATCGTCGAACAGAGAAAGGAGGTTTTGTCGCGAGAGAAAATCGTACGATTTCGAGCGCGTGATTGGGAAGCACCGTAAATACGATTTTTACAAGAAAGGAAAGTAAAAAGTAATGTAAAACAAGAGAAGTAATATGAATCAAAGAGAATAATAATAACAAAAGATAAAAAAATAACAACAAATAATGATATTCTTTGATTAGGGAAACCTACTCACTAAAAGTGATTTTCAGTAGGACCCTAAAATAATAATAACAAATAATAAAGAAAAAATAAACAAACAAACAAACAAAACAGCACAAACATACCATGCAAAGGAAACAAGGCTAAAAACAGTCACAAAAGAACCCAAGATTAGAAAATTACTATTTTTAATGGCGACAACAACAACAACAACAACAACATAAACTACACCTTATGTTTCAAAACATGGCACGAAACTAACCAAACAAATCAAAACTAATACAATCAGAAATTGAAAATGAACAGACAAATGCAATTTCTTTACATTAAACCACGCCACTTACGACTTAAAAACACCTGGCTAAAGGATATTCACGGGTCGTTTTCCCTCTTACTAAACAAGACGAAGTGCATGGCCGGATATTCTGAATTTGCTCCAATTAGTGTATATATATAACAGGTCATGCGTCAGTTGCAATTAGAGCAGTTTTCGTATGACTGTGAAAAGCTCAGTGCCGTAAGCGTGATGTGCCGTGACCGTGATGCTTTCTAGAATGTGATTGTGCAATGTGATTGGTCTGGCATTGCCGTGACCATGGCGTGACCGTGTCCGCGCCGTGTTTATGCCGTGTTTCGTGTTGGTATTTGATTGGATGGAGAGTAAATTCTCGTGCAATGTGATTTGTCTGGCGTATCCCTTGCCGTGTCATGGCCGTGTTCGTGCCGTGAATTTTTCACAGTCATACGAAAACTGCACTACTAGGGAGCAGAGGAGAGCACACGCGTTTTGGCGCGAAAAATTCCCGCCAAATCCACAGCCAACCCAACAAAATAGGAAAATGTAAGATTTTTTGGCCAACCTTTTTGGTGCACCCCGCTAAGGAGAGAAAGCTAGATTGACATTTTACTGACTCTGTTATACATGCATGTATCGAGAAGGAATCTAGTGTATGAAAAGGGGTCATGCATCAGGATTTTCATTACTAAGGATAGCACGAGTCTGGAAAAATGGCATTATTTACTCTCATCTACATGCACACATCTAAAAAATCCTCATCTAGAATTATTATAGTTAAAAATATTACAGTTAACTGACATTCGCCCGAAAAATTAGTATTTTTAACTGACCATTGGGTATCCCCATTGGCACACATCAGAAGGTTCCTCTGTGTGACCTCGGCTCCGAATAACGACGTTCAATTCACAGTTTATAATATCTAAACTATCCTCATAAACCTCTTTCTCTTCGACAGGAAAAGACGCACGTCTCGTAAAAGGTATCTCCTCGTACACAGTTGATTTCGTAAGATTGAGAAAAGTCTCGGCACGGTCATGGTACGGATCTCCTTTTAACCAATCATAGTGCAGCATAGTCTCAGACCACGTGCCATTCCATAGAGTATCATTTCTTTGTTTAGGTTAGTTGCGTATAAAAAGACACACGAATATAGATACAACTCAAACAAAGAATCTTATTCTCAAGGGTATGACACGTGGTCTGAAATGGGAAAACATTACACTCAAGGTAAAAAGCGTTGACATGGTTCCCACCTTCCTGGTCACTACAAGGCACGTCCATATCTCATTGCTATTTAAAATATACTCTGACTTTTGTCTGACACATACATTACTACAGTAGAGACCATAGTTGATAGAGGCTATGCAACATCACGTGATGGCAGCCGTGACAGGAGGCACAACAACTGAGTCTTTTTTCCCTGGGAAACTGACTTCAGTTTCTGCCTCTTGTCATGACTGCTGTCATGTGATGGCGCAAAGCCTCTATTGTTGACATGGCGCTATGTTTCTATGCAAAGAAATACCTCCTATTATAATACACTCAACAAAGTTACTCGATTCTGATTGGATAAATCCCAAATTGTACTCTGTAGGGTCCCAATTAAGTTGCTCAATTTTTTTGAGTGCATTATAAACAAAAAATCGCACAATTTTCTCATACAATTTGGAATCTATAGAAAGTATTTATTGAAAGTTCTTCAATTGGAAACTTTCAAAACATCACTCGTAATTATAAATTCGGAATTGTACTCAAGATCGTGCGATTTCCTATATGATGATGATGATGATGTTAATAATAATACATCAATGTCCAACTTACTGCTATCATTTTATCTACAGCGATGTCTGAATCAGAACAACTGCTTGCTTGGCTTTTATCTGAAACTAGAATCAGGAACAGTATAGTTATTTTTCTTTGCTGAGACAAAAAAATAATTTCTTTGGAAATGCAAAATTTTACAAAGAACTTTTGCTCGTGGCCATGGTTTGCATTCCAGAAATATTATTTTGAAAATTTCATTTTCCCCGAAATATATATTAAAAAATACAACATATATACATATTAAATTATATTGATACAATAATTGGATAGTTACCCATTGCTGCAGCAATTCTCTTTGCTGATGGCATGTACTCAATACCAGCACCTGAATGCAAGAGCATTCAAATAATGCACATAAGACATACATTCTAAACAAACTTTAGACTAATGAACTGAGCTGCAAATTACAGTGGATTCTGATTGGCTAAGCTACTAGTCATGTGATACTTTTTCTGGGAACCAGGACAGGCCTGAGACCCCATTGTCTTTCTGCTCTGGTGAGCAAGTGCAACTTGCTGCTACAATACCCTTGATTTCCATATTTAATTAAATTAATTAAATTATCTTACATTGGCTTAAATATTTGAGTATTGCTTCTGTGCCTTGTTTAGTGACCTCTAATAAAATATGAAAACAAAATTGTTAAGAAAAAAGCCCAGTGGCTGTAAACACCTTATAAAATATCATAAAAAATTACACGATATAAAAACATGATTATATAATATATAATCACTTCAAAAATTTAATAAAAACAAAGGAGGTACTGCTTCTTAATAAGTTTACCTCTTGGAGGGATGTTGACAGTGTTGACATCCAAGATGATGTTCTAGTTCATAAAATAAAAACAACCTTACTATTATATTAGAGAATACACTCAAGCTATATACAATTTTTAAATTTAATGAATGTATAATAGCTGTACATGACATCTGTGCTTCCCAATTAAGTGTATGTGTTTGTGTGTGGGAGGGGGAGGGGGGAGGTAATGGGATGGGGGAGATTTATGGTTCTGGATCATTGTTGTTGTTGTTGTTGTAACCCAAGTTCTGTTTTAGCTATAAAATATAGATTGCAACCTTAACAAAGGGCTAGTTTCCTTACATCTAAAAGTCTGCAATATGCAAGAGAGGCTGGCAATGATTCCAGTTTAGGGTTACCAGACAAGTTTAATTTTTTTAGATTCTCAAGGTTACCAATGGCATCAGGAAGGGATGTGAGATTATTACCTATAATTGAAATCATTGAAAGGTGTGAGTAATAATTAATTGGCAAATACAAAATCAAGACAAAGCAATGCTAGTCCCCTCCTCTACCTTCCCAAAAAGTTTGAAAAAAAAAAGAAAAATAATGAATTTATTTAAATAAAATAGAGTAGAATAATTACCTTGCAAGTCAATGGTTTGAAGGGATTTCAAAGCACCTATTGTCGTTGGAAGTGTTTTCAGTTTGTTATTTTGTACATTTAGCACCTGTCGAGGGGGAAAATGAAAACTAAGTCATTTTGCAGACAGATTTAGCCAGTAATTTCTCTGACTTATATGCACCTAGCAGAGCAAACGTAACTTCTATCAGCAGGGTTTCATTGAGGGTCAGGGATTGGAGAATGCTCAACCAGTAAATGAGCAAAGTTCACCAGCTTCAACTACCATTTAATTTTATGGCTTAGCAATTTGTATAATGTTCACTTAGACTCTCTGGCTAGTTCATGACTTTCTCCCATCATTTCAAACCCTAATGAAACCCCTGAACCAGAATTTTATCATTATTTTTAGAAATTTGGAAATCTTGGTTATAATATAGGAGGCTATAATTGTTTCTATAGGTTGTACAGGCTGCTACGCTCTTGTCAACACCAACATTTCCTCAGATTACAAAATTTTTAATCACACATTTTATGCTCTAACTGATTAACATATTCAAATTATTCAATACACCAAGTATAACAAAACTAAATCTTTATATTTCAGTGTCTTAGTCGTTCTAGAGCTTAGCACTAGTTGGAAACACCTTTCATTCACACATTCTACCATTACTAACATTCGACTTAAATGTTGTTTTTTGAAGATTCAAAATTCAATCAGACTTATGTATAAAAAGATAGACAGTATGTCTCCTGAAAGAAAATCTATCATGTATCTTGATAGTCATCTAGTCCCATTAGGCATGACCCAAGTATGTAATTTGTAAGATTGTAGTTTCCATTAAATCATCAGGCTTTAGATTACAATATCTTTTTCATCTATCTCTAACCTGTAAGGATTTAAGTTCTTTTATTTCATTTGGTAGGCTTGTAATGCGATTGTCACGTAAATCTAGAACCTTTTGATAATGAGATAAAGAGGAAGTGATGATGACTATTATTCATTCTGCACTTTTAATGTGTCAAAGAAATATTCTTATTTATTTTCATGGCTAAAAAACAACATTGTTATAGATGGATGAATGGATAAATGAATGATACTATTGATGGATTGAATGGATGGATGGATAGATAATGGTTAACAACTAAATAAATAGATAAGGGAAGAATGGAATGAATGGGATAAAATGGATGAAATGAGTTAGATGTATCATCATATATTTATGATGGATGGAAGATGGATCCATCAAATGAATTGATAAATGGAATGGAAAAATGGATAGTGGATAGGATTGGTAGATTGATGGATGAATAAATGGATTGGTGAATAGGATGAATAGATGGATGGATGAGTGAATAAATGGATGGATTGGGGTAGGAATGAATGAATGGATGGATGAATGGGATAGAAATGGGTAAATGAATGAATAAATCAATGAAAGGATGGATGAATGAATAAATGGATAGAATAGGAATGGGTGGATGAATGGATAAATGGATAGAATAGGAATGGGTGGATGAATGAATAAATGGATAGAA